GTTCAGCCAGCAGGACTATCAGCCTGATAAATGCTTTCATCTTAAAGGTTGTATTGCTACAATAACCCCAAAACTTAAAGCCGCTCCTTGAAACCTACAGCCTGGCTAAAGGGATGAAGACTGCCCTCTGACACCTCCTTGAAACCTACAGCCTGGCTAAAGAGATGAGGACTGCCCTCTGACATTTCTAGGTTGCTAAGGAGCTCTCTCAGGTTCCAGTGGAAGAATTAAGATGCTGACATGCAGCTGTTCTGATCTGAATTGGAAATTACTGAGGACTTCATAATTTTAAATGATTTGAGGGCAATGCTGCTCAAAAGGAATTAGCTTTAGATTGAGATGAGACTGAACTCTGGGTGATGCGTCCAAACATTTTATTGCCACTCAATTGTAAAATGTTTCTACAAGATTTTAGGAGGCAGAATCTTATATTGCTATTTTCAGAAACAACAGAGAGTTTCACCTCCTCTGTCTAGGCATTTGCAGTTATAAAACTTTAGGAGACTGGTAAAAAACTAATCTGTGGAGTAGGCTGAAAGTGGTGTGAGAAGGTAGCAATGACAACTGGTAGGATTTTGGCTTTGTAGAAGTTTGTTTTCTAGAGATCTGAAAGAGAGTGGCTGTGTTTTGAAAGTAAATAGTGAAAGTGGCTGTGTACTGAGTATGCATATAAAACCAGTTGAAATAATGAACAGTGTGAAAGGAGATGGGATGATACAAGTGGGAGAAGAATAGAATAAAGGATCACAAGGGAAGGCAGAAGGGATGAACAAAGGTTGAGTTCTTGCTTTTATGTCTAAGAATAGTAATCCGAGGCTTGTAGCAAACTTTAGCTGCTGTTTTAACCCAGAAACTGTTTAATACAACAATATTTGTAACTTGTAATGATTACAATGAAGGTAGCCAGATACTGATTTTGTTCAGTGCTTTTGATAATGTGAAACAACTTCATTGTTTTTCTTAAGATTTTAATGACTTCACTGAAGTTCTTCTGTTAAATTGCCATTCTGGTTTGGAACCTTCAGTGTTCCCTGATCATTATGTTGATCATATAAAAAAAATTTAGTGCTTGTTTTTTTTTTGACTAAGACTTTAGAAGCCACACTTCTTATCTGGAACTTTCAAAAGCACAACCATGACAATTGCTTCCTAGGAAAGTACTGTTGTATAAGTCTGATACGATACACACTTTGAATGCTGCAGGTCTGACACGACATCTCAGAAGGAAGATATAAAGGAAGACCTCTGACAGCAGAGGTCAGTGAGGGTGATTGAAAGCTTTGGACAGCAACTGTTCAGGGAGATCCTAAGTAGGCTATGATTCTTCAGCTTGGAAAGGAGATGACTAGGGGATTAGATAATAGAGGTCTATAAAACTGTGACCCATGTTGAGAATGTAAGTAGGGAACGATTATTCTGTATTTCTTTTAGTGTTAAGAGCTAAAGGTTACCAAGTGAAATTACCAATTGTCAAAGAAGAGAGAGTATTTTTTTGCTGGAAGCTACATGAGTCTGCAGGGGAGATGCCTGCTTAGTGCATCCTGTTCTTTTACTTTTCCCCAAACACTTGACCACTCTTAGAGATAAGATACAAGGCTAGATGAATTTTTGATCTGGACATATAATTGTAAAAATCTTAAATTTACAGGCACTAGGTGGTTGACTGAAGAGCAAGTATGAGATTTGACCTTCCTTTTAGCTTCATTTTTTATGCTGGCTAGTTTTCAAGTTGATGAGTGCCTTTAAACTTGCTTTAAAACATATTTGCCTTGTACGGAATTACGTGATAGCAGCAACAGCTTTGGCTAATGCATTTATCGTTTTAGGATTTATTAATCCTCATTTCCTGATGTTTTATAAAATTCATCAAATATGCAGGATCTTACCTTGCTTAAAGCTTCAAGACAGAAAATGCTTATGAAAAAAGAAATTGCAGATTCCAGTCAGTCTGACTTCAGTCTGTGCACATTGGCTATGGAGTTGCTTAGGGGCAAGAAAACAACTTGGTTTATCCATTCTATATTTGAAATGCTGGGTGAGAGCTCTTCTTCATCTCTGCCTGAACGTGTAGCACATGGCCTTCCTCTTGGGCTGTAATAATCTACTTCAAGTTGACTGATCATATTGGTTTTGTCTCCGGTTTTGGAAGGCATTCTCCCACCTTTTCTCAGCTCATCAGCTGAATAACCTGTCCTTCTCTATTCAACTTTGTATTCCTCACAAGCTGTTTGAAATCTCTGCTAAGACCTCACTTTTGCCAGCTGTGCCTTTCTTTTGATATTGTTATGACTGATGCATACCTTGCTTTCTGCCACCAATTTTAGAAGTTTCTGTATAATCCAGGAATACTGCAGAAACTGTGGTAGCCCCTCTGCCAGCTCTCTTTAGTTGTAGTAATGACCAAGTTCAAATAAAGTGTAATGGCTCATATTAAAGTGAACAAAATGCACCCACGAAGGAACATTACTTGCTCATGGATTTTAGGAACTTACCTCCAGACACTGCTGCTTTAACTTCATTCTCTACATACATCTTTGGTTGCAGTGTTGTATCCTGGCACTGTTTCACATCCCCGCCTGCTTTGCTTTCAATTAATTTCCAGTGCAGCTGATTAATTACAAGATGCATTTGAGGGAAGGTGCAGTAGCTGACATTTGGTGGGACTGAGGGCTGTTCTGTTATTTTCAGGTCCTGTTTGGCACTGCAGATGGACAGGTTATTGTCATGGACTGCCATGGCCGAATGCTGGCCCACGTGCTCCTTCACGAGTCAGATGGCATCCTCAACATGTCCTGGAACTACCCCAGCTTCCTGGTGGAGGACAGCAGCGAGAGCGACACAGACTCTGACGACTATTCCCCACCACAAGGTAGTGTCGTGTGCATGTCCTTGTGTTTCAGCTTTGCAAGTGCTCATGAAGACATCTCAAATGCCAAGGAGTTGTCATGCTGTACAGAAACAGCAGGATGACCACAGTGTCAAGCTCTGGTGGAGCAGAGTTGGTATGGGAGGGTGGGTTTGTTCCCAGCTCTGCCACCAACAACTGTGCTGCTCTGCCTCCATTTGCAGAAATGAGACAGCACCGCCAAGCTCAAGATTTTTAGTGAGGGTGAGTGTAAACACTAGATATGGACGTTTCAGGTTTCACTGATAAGCAGATATGAGGTATTGCAATGGTTTGTATGTATGTAGGGAGTCAGAGTGCAGTTACAGAAGTTAATGCATTATTAGAGAGATTCATGTGAAGAGACACCAATACTAGACGTAGTGTAAAGTACTATATATTTGATTTTATCTCTGTTTCATGGGATTTCTGTGATGCTCATTGTAGCAGTCCCATCCTTGACAGTCCTGGCATAAAGAGTTCAATAAATACTGTAGAAGGTTTGGGAATGAAGATATTTCCTGCAATTACATGGGGTAGAAGCAGGATGACTGGAGCTGTCTAGAGTTACTATTTCACATGCTCCAGAGCACATTGCTGGTTTGAGGGTCAAGAAGAAATCCTCTCTCCTTGAGTCTCAATGTAACCCATTTGATGAAATGTTTTGGTTTTAAATTTTTTGGAAATCATCAGTAGCAAAGACCTAGGAGACCTAGGTGTCCGTGTACAGTCAGTCCCATCCCTGTTATTCATGTAATGCTAATAGTTCTTGTTGATGTTGATTAGTCTATAAAATCTAGATAAGCTATTTCTGTGTTCCATTGTATAAAGTCTGAACTAAGTCAATATAATAGTGTTTGTACAATGAAAAATTTAAATACCTAATGACTAGAAATAATTCTGAATTTGCATCTCGGATCTGAACCTGTGAACTGTGAACTTTTGCAGTTTTAACTCTGATTTGGATTCAGTCAAAATATGTGCCTTTTCCAGTATCGTATATATATGTCTATATAATAAGTTTATGTATATAAGAAATAATGAAAGATGATAATCTGATCACCTGGTAAAATGTTAGCATCTTTTTAAACTGAGTAGCTCATGCCTCACTTTTAGTACTGGGTGAGATTTCTTACCTCAGAAGAAAAGAAACATATTTTAACTTAGCAAGCTTCTAAAGTAAGACAGATAACAACATTAAATTATTTTTTGCTGATTTGTTTTTTTAATACCGATGTTCCAGTTGGAGGATGGTGAAGTTGCAGAGTACACAGATGAGAACTTAAATGATCCGAATGTATGAGTTTCTTCTGAGTCAGTTGGGGTGGGTGTATTTGTTACAAGCCTATTTTAATGATTACCCAAACATGATGTGTTTTCTTAGAGCAGATGCAGCATAAACCTCTCAAAGGTGACAAGCCTTTGACTCACACAGATGTGTAGGAAGGACTGGAAGTTTGTTGGGTTTTTCTTAATGTACATACAGAGACACTAATTACTAGTCATCTTTCTTCAAAATTATTTCTAATCAGCTTCTCTACAAGTTAGGGAAGCAATACTGCTCTTAACTGGCTCTGCCATTTTTTTGGGCTGAGAACATGTTGGCTGGGCCTTGAAGAGGCACTTAATCAGTGACCAGTAGCATCTCCCCTCAGAAAATGTGAACAGAAAGAGTTAAACAGCAAATGCTACAAGTGGTGTTATTGGTCATGAAGTGTTTGAACAAGGGAATTTCAGTGAATGCTAAAAAGCAGAGCAGAGACTTTGCAGAAATGGTTTTTTAAAGCCAAGTGTTCCATTTGTGCTCACCTCTAGCTTTGGGTGCATTGGATCCTGTTACGCAGAATGGCAGGTAACTTTTTATGCTGCTGCCTAAGCTCTTAGCATTTAGAGTGCAGTTATTTGTGATAGATCAGTACGTTCTCTTGGAAGTTCTTGTAATGTCTCCGTGTGACTTCAGGAGGAGTCCCCAGCACTTGTCCAAGCAGAACGTGTGATTTTATTGTTTATTACACTGTTTTTCAACTTGGGTTCCAAGGAAGACTTCCAAGGCACTGGTTTTCAATTTTTTGGCATTTTGGGAATTGATAATGGAGAAAGATTGAAAAACACTGCTGTGTAACATCATAGTATATGCATAAGTCACTTTGGATATACTGCAGTGAAAATTCACAAGGTAAAAACATTGAGGTTTCACAGGAAACAAACAAGCTTAACTAGCTAAACCTGCCTTGCTTTTGCTCATAGATGTTGCAGAAATAAGCAGGTAGAATTTGAGGCTTGGCAGCACTCCTGATGGCAGTAGGCTGCAGTACAGTGTGTTTCAGCATGGATGTAATTGCTTTTGGTTGTTTACCTTTACCTCACCCCAGGGCCTTGTTTTACAGATGGACCAGCTGCGTATCCAGTCCCGGTGCAGAACACCAAGCCACTGCTTACTGTCAGCTTCACGTCGGGAGACATCAGTTTAATGAACAATTACGATGACTTGTCTCCTACTATCATCCGCTCAGGGTTGAAAGGTACAAAAGAAGCCATTTCACCCTCTTCCTATGCTCTGTTTTTTCCGGTATTTTTAAATGATGTATGCATAGGTTGTGTTTTTGTGGTCGTTTCTCCTTAACCAGAAGCACTCTGCCGCTGTTATTGCCGTTTCCAGCAGTGACACCTGCTGGAGGAAGAGCAGTGCTTGGCTGATGGAGGTTTCGTGTTTGAAAAAAATGTTTCCGTTCCTGAGATCATGGTTTTATGGGAGTTTTGTAGAGCAGTTGATCTGTTTTCAGTTTTCCACGTGAATGTGCTAACATGTTTAGACTTCTTTGTATGAATGCCTCTGCTACACAACACTTCTTTGCATGTTTAACTCCCAAGGTCTTCTAACCTGCATTTGGTAACCCAGTATGAATGGCAGTGCTGCTTTAGTTCTCAGAAATATTGAAAACTTGCTAGAATTATTAATTATCAAGAGGCAAGTTATTCTGAGAGAAGGAAATTTCCACTGATTAATTACTGTACGTCTTGCTAAGTGATGTGCAATAAATATTTGTACAATCAGTACTCCATGTAAAACCTTTAACTCACATTGAAGTTTTTACTATTCTTACCTATTAAAAACGTCCCTTACTTTGCCAGCACTCTCAGTACAATTTACCATGCTTTGCCTGGAGAGGTGTTTTAATTCACTATGGCACATAGGCACGTACTTAAATATAGGTTCTATTGATGGTTTTTCATCTCCACTGGTAAATTAGTTTTAAATTAGATGGAAAAAAAAATTAGGCTGTGAGAGCTGACTCTTAACTGTTCTGTAACAGTGAGATATTTTTGGTGAAGAGTTATCCTAACACCAACCCCTTAGTTTTGGGGTGATCCATTATGTAGAGTAGTCTTAGGAGGTAGAAAAATCAAATCACCTCTGAGGTTTCTTTTCTGCTCCTTCCTCCATCTGTGCCAACACAAGAAGTCCATGAGTGGTAAAATAGTGTCATGAGGCAACCTTATGATCCAGAAAACTTTGTCATATGAAAGGATACCTAAAGTAAGGAGAACTGGAGCCAACCTAGAGAAGCTCTTGGATATTCACCATGAGTCTGTTCAGCATCTCTGCAGTATTATGGTAATTAGGGTAGTGAGTAATCTTGAGTTGTCATCTAGTCTAGCTTTTAACTGGAAACAATAGGAGAAACAAACCCTCTTATTCTCTGTTTAGAGTTGCAGGGTTCTGT